CATTACACCTCACCACCCACCCACATATACAGCTCTAGCTGAATTTTGATTCACTGAAATATTCTGGAATTTTACAGCATTTGGGTGGGAAGAGAAATGACAAATCAATTGCCAGAAGTGCACATTGGTATATGGTTGATATAAGATCATGTTTTGTTTTATTTTTAATGAAAAGGTAGAAAGACCAAATAAATTGCCAATGGGGAAATAAGTTGATTGGCATCAGAAACCCAAGAAGAAATTGTCATAATCCATAGCATGACTTGCCTTTAAACTTAGACAAACTAGAATTATCCTTAATGATTTGTGTTCCAGTTATATTTTTCCATAGTCTACATTTTTCAAAATATTCAGTAACCGAGAAGTGGCTGAATTAGGAGGGGATGAAATGTTTTCCTTTTCACTTCATTTTGTTTTTGAATTGCAAAGTCATTCTTTCTTAACAATGTGCAACTATTTGTTTAAAAATATAATGAAAACATGCTATTTTTTAATGAATTTCTCCAAATATGTTCTTTCCCCCCCAAAAAAATTTGGGCTATGTGGCAAACCATTTCCTGAAATATATGTCTTCCACAATGCTGTTTTCTAAAATACAAAGTATGAATTTCTTAAAAGGAATTGCACTGTGAAAACTAACAAATGGTTTGGGTTTGGATTTTGACACTGCTGCTGAAGCCCACAAAGCAAAGCAAATTCTTTTCCAGCTACAGTTCAATCATACTATTCCCATGTTGTCTTCTTAAAAGGTGAGCTGAAAATAAAACCATGTATACCTGTACTGGCTAGCTAGATCAATGGTGTGACTCAGAACAAGGCCAAATTGTGTTAATAAAATGGAATAGGTGATTTCCATAATGTGATGTGGTTGTGAGATTGTGTATGTCTTTTTTTTCCCTCCTCGGTGAAGCTTGACAGTTATTCTCAAATGGAAAGGTGGAGGGGAGTAGAGTTAGTAGCATAGAGTTAGTAGTAGAGTGCTCACAAATAATCTTCTCATGGTGGAGATGCAGCATCAAAATATCAGGACATGTAGATGATTTCAGATGATCGCTTTCTCTTGTCTATGCTTTCTTTATAGATTGCTGTTAAAAAGTAGACAATAAAATCTATGTCTTAGTTTGGTTGAGGGAGTCAACATTGTTGAGAGCTGGGTAGGTGAGCTTGGTAACTTTAATCAGCTCCAGGTCTGTCCACTGGGTGCTTAATTCAGCAGAACTCTAAGGATTACCAACCACCAAATTTGACTGAATGTGATCCTGACATTATCAAGCCCAGAATAGCTTGATAGTGAGTTGGGCAGCACACAAAGTTAATTAAAATAAAAACACCTTGCTATGCCACTGCCTTTACCATAGACATGTAGAAGCTTTCAGGATCCCCCAAACTGACAAACATTAACAAACATTTGATGATTAAGGGCTTTTTAATCTGTTTTACGAATTTCAGTTAATCAGAAGTAAAATAGCACTAGTCTATCCAACAAGAAAGGTGTGATATAAAAGAGAATAATATGCCTAGTAGCAGGGGTGGGATTCAGTTTTTTTAACAACTGGTTCTGTGGGCGTGGCTTAGTTGGTGAGTGTGGCTTGGTGGTCATGTGACTGGGTGGGTGTGGCCAACTCGACATCACTCATGTCAAAGGGGCGCTTCTCCTTGCCTGGCCTTTCATGACAGTGGGGATGCTGCAACGGTCATAAGTGTGAAAAATGGTCATAAGTCACTTTTTTCAGTGCCATTGTAACTTTGAATGGTCACTAAATGAACTGTTATAAGTCAAGGATTACCTGTACAAAAATACAAAAAGCTGCCTTAAATACCAATCATTACATTAAAAATACCTGCAAGCCGGAGTTACAAATCAGGCAGGGTGCCAGAGCACCTTGAGGAATTAAAATAGTTAAAATGCAGTGATAACTATCAGCAACCAACTCTCGCTCATAAAGTGAAACCCTTTAGCAGAGAGGTCATTTAAGCTCTCCAGAAAGCGCACACACAGGAAAAGCAATCCTTAGGTCCATTTGCACCACTTAAAGATACCAGGTGATCTCACTCATCTCTTAAGATATCCTAAGGAAATAATCCAGACTTATGGAAAGGACACATGCCCCCCAGAAGTATACCCCAAAAGGACAGTGCCAGATACCATTAAAGCAGTGAAGGAAGACCCCCCCTCCCCAGATAGAAAAAGAAACCACGAGGCAGGAAAAAATTCAAACACAATACAAATAATTAAATCACAATAGTAGCTGTTGCTTGTTGAAGCTAAATAGGGAAAATTATCCCATCAATAAACACAGGATTAAACTTCACCAAGCACAGAATTAATCTTCACCAAAAACCAGTTTTAGACCAAAAACTCAGAAAGGATATGTAAACTCACGTTTGAATGTCAATCCTTCTAGCTAGCCAAGAAGCCTTGCTGAATGTCACTCATTTTAGTTCCCTGTCACTAAAAGCTTTGCTTCATTATTCAATTATTTCTTCAAAGTGCTGATTGTCCAGGGAAGTATTTCCTCCCAACAGCAGTGTAAAAATCTTAAAACAACCCTTCCCCTTTAAGAAAGCCAAGCCTCACAAGCTCCGGAGACAGGAAGTCTAGGCTGTCTGCCAAGAATGTAATAAGGGTGATAAAAAAAACAAAAGGAGATTGCTTCTAACTACTTAGAAAGTTAACAAGGGGTTCTATAGAACTGGATAGAACCGGTAAAACCCCAACCCCTGCCTAGTAAGTCACCTATATTTGCATCTATGAATAAGTTACACTGAATTCCACTTTCATATAAAGAACCCTCCAGGATTGCAAAATTAACTCCATGTAGCTGGACTAGCTTTGAAACCTTGGTTACTTTCAATAACGAAGGAGAAATAAAAGCTGAGAGTAAGAATTTAATCTATACAATCATTATGAGACTAATGTTGGATTATTCAGGCTTCTGATTCCTAAATCATATCGAATGCATTTTCCTCCTCCTGTTTTCTCCATGTCAATGATCCTGCAAGGTGAGATGGGCTGAGAGAGAATGAATGGCTCAAAGTCACCCCACTGGCTTTCATGACTAAGGTAGGACCAGAAGTAACAGTCTCCTTCTTTCTAGCCTTGCGTCTGAACCACCAGACCAAAGATTTAAATGCCAAGAAATACATTCATTTTCAATACATTAGTTTCAAAAACTTTTCTCAACAGATTAGCGATCCTAGATGCTAATGTATGTTTGTTGTCTGGAAATCAGTGTCATAGACTATTAGTAATTCATTGGATAATATCTTGAGTTTATTAATTGGGCGAAGACTGTATCATAGCAAATTTAGTAATTCCCATCATGCAGCCTTCATAGGATCATAGGATAATAATGAAGATGCTGTAATAATTGGGCCAAGCACCCACCGAATGTAACACCTTCCAATTAGCATTTCACAGCACGAATTCTACCATTAACATTAAACAACAAAGACCAAAATTGGTTATCACTCCACATAATAGAAAATAATTGATGAAGTCGGGATTTGATTATTTGGTAGTTACTTTACATTTGTGCACAAAAGAAAAAAAATGTTAAGAAAAACACAGTTAGTACTTAATCTCTGGCTACTTCTTTGAAGATAATGAAATTGGCTTCCTACTGCTGATTATTCATTAACAATTAATTCTTTCTCAGTGATCTGCTTCATTTTCAGCTTCTCACTACAAACATTCAATGGAATAATTACAAGTGGAAAAGTAATTAGTGGCAGATAATGCCAACATCTGATTAAAAAAACCCAGAAGTGATTAGCAATTTGGTGGCTCAACTCTACTACTTTCAGTGAGGTATTGTCATTTATCCAACAACACTTTAATTCAGGCTACAATTCTGTTTTCTTATTTCTTTTACCTCAGTTTCTGCCTCATTTTGTGCTTCCTTCTGGGGATCCTTGCATTGATGTTGGATTTTCCTAAAGATGAGTATCATTCATAGAACTTTTTTCATTCTATGTAAAATTATATAGGAGGGAAATGATCATAATGAAACATATTTTCCAGGTGTTAACAATTTCAAGACATGGAGAAGACACATGTACCAATTCTATACACTCACCTCTGACTTTTCTGGTTTCATAATCATGCTGACAATGTGTTATCCTTTGATTTAAAAAGCAAATAGCCAAGTTACCAAAAAAAATAGTTGAAGCTTTTGTGATAGGTACCACCAAAACTTTGTTCCCCATGGAAGTCAAGGAAGTTACTATAGGAAGTTTTTTACTGTCTTTTTCATTGTGAGTCCCCCCAGAACCATCAAACGGCTTCTGTATAAGAATGCTTTACAGAACAGTATAGCTAATTGTTCTTGGTGAATCAATTGTTTACGAATCCCAAGGGCTGTCATCGCCCCTTCTTCTGGTAGCAGATGCTACACAGTTTCTACATTGTAAAAAGAAGTTGCTCCTTTATCTGAATGGGATAATTTATTTCACTGGATGATCCTATGAGAGTTAGCGAGCACTGTTGTTTTTTTCCCATTTACACAGACATACTGTATAAGATCCTATTCAAATGAATCAGCAGACCACATAGAGGGAAATCTCATTTAATGACTTGATATGAGCCCTTTTTTCCCCTTTGATCACTTTCTCTACTCCATGATTATATTACTCTGGATCATACAGAATCTTATAGTTGAGTTATGTTCCGCCTCTATCATTTCCCCCCCCCTCTAAGCTAAAAGACTCCAAATGTTTTAGCCTTTCCTCCTAGTAAAAGGATTGCAACCTCTTAATCACTGTGGAATTTTTTTAGACCAATGTGATGTTGCGGCTGTTGTTGGTAAGATAAAGTATTCTTTGGATTGACCCAAATTCTGTTGACTTTCTGGACACCACAACTGTGATGTTTTCTTTGCAGCTACAGTATAAAAAAAATATTTTTGGTAATTGTGCACTGGCATGATATATTATTTTGATTTCCCTTTCTGGTTTATAACACTATGAATTGTTTTATGTTTTCTTCCCTATTCTTATTGTGGTGGCGCAGTGATTAGAATGCAGTATTGGAGGCTAAGTCTGCTCACATTGCCAGTCGTTCCATTCCCTCGATCCTGATGAGACTCATGTTTGACTCAACCTTCCATCCTTCCGAGGTCAGTAAAATGAGGAGCCAGATTGTTGGGGGCAATTTGCTGACTCTGTAAAAACTGCTTAGAGAGGGCTGTAAAGCACTGTGAAGCGGTAGATACAGTAAGTTTAAATGCTATTGCTATTACCAATCTTCATATGGAAGCTATCCAGATGTTAGGTATAGTTAAAATTTCCAAAGGGTAATAGAGCATGAGTGTGCAGTGTTAATAGCATGATGCAACTTTAATAGCTGAAGAAAATTCTGGGAATACTAATGAATTTTCCCCCTGAATACTCATGAACAAAGCTTGTTAGGTACCAAGTCAATTCTGAATAAGAATATTGTCCTTCACTAATGACTTTCATCCAGGAACATGTTAAGACTAATTTCCACTAGTTAACTACAAAATTAATATAAGTTTTTTTGGGGAGGATGGGAGAAAGAACATTTTCTGTTTTTAATTTTAATTTGTTACAAGGGTAATGTTGAAATAGATGGAAAAATAAAAAGGTTATGGTGAAATTGTGCAGAAGGAGGCAAACTATGTCTCTAATACCCTGTTTCTCCAACAATACAGCCTCCCCCAATAGGAAGTCCCAGCATGTTTTATAGGCATGAAATGAAATTAAGCCCCTCCCCCCAAATTAAGGCCTATATTAAAACATGCAAAATGGGGGGGGGAATGGGGGGGGGACTTGCCGTTAGGAAGTACTTTTGTTGCACACCCGGATATGGTGCTGCCTGTGTTGACCCCGATACTAAGTGCCTCACCAACGCAGAGGTCAACATCCAAGCCGTCGCCGCCCGCCCACCCAAAGATGCAAAGGGGGGGGGAATTAAGTCACCCCCGAAAAGACGGCCTAGCCATTTTTTCGGGGCTCAAAAAAAAAAAAAGACCCGGCCTTATTATATGAGAAACACGGTAGTTGGTAGAGTCCAACTCTCATTATTAACCATTAACCATTGGACTCAGTGATTAGGAATTATTATTGTTATTTTTATTATTAGTGTTGTACTATTATGGGACAAATCTATGTGGTTTCTGAGAGTTGACAAGAACTGATGGCACATTATGAATCTATCTATCTATCTATCTATCTATCTATCTATCTATCTATCTATCTATCTATCTATCATCTACCTACCTACCTACCTACCTAGCTATCATTATTCCAATTTGGAGCCACCTAAAACAGAGAGAAAGAGAGAGAGAGAATCCTATACATCAGGACAATCATTTGTGATATTTCCAAACCTCCCACAACCAGGAAGCCCTCCACAAATACCCTCCTCCAAGCCTTGGGAGAACAGGCAAATTTTTAAAGACTTCAGGAACTTTACCATGGTGGGAGCTACACAGAGTTCAAGTAATAACAGAGCACCATAGATTGGTTGTTCAGCCCTAGTTTAAAGAATGGGGTGGAAACCCAAGTCCTCTCACCCCAGTTTCATCTCATCCGCGAACATTTTAAGTAGCCACTCATACTCAGCCTGTGTAAGAGAATTTTTGAAGCCTGAGAAAGAAAATGGAGAATATCAGAGTAAGAGCAGAGGGAGGTTTTATCTGGTAAAAGAGCCTTCCGGTTAAACAACCTGGAAAAAAAATGAATACAATTCACAGAGCCCTTGTTCTAATGAAGTCACTAATAAATGGAGGGTGGAGTTTTGATTCATCAGTTTCTGTTTCAAAACTCTGTATCTTAGCTCCTTCCCCCCCCCTCCTGGCATTAAGCTGGATGAATGAAAATGGACAAATCTTGCTTCCCTAGTCATGCATTGCTTTTTTTCCCCCAGTGAACCAGACCTTTTCACAGGACACTATTTAAATACTGTTTATTGTTATAATTGAGGACATAAGAAGATGCTAGATAAGATCAAAGATCCATCAAATTCAGCATCCTGTTTCCCACAGATGTATACAGAAAGCCAACAGGCAGCAAATGAATTACAGTCTCATAGTATTGTAATACTGAACTATTCTGGTTCCTGAACATGAGAACCAAATTTCAGGCTCAAATTTCAGACAGTTCTGGGACTTTATCATCTATATGTTCTATGCAGTGATGACATTTGAAAGTTTAGATGAAAAGAAAGCTTTGAATGATGGGCAATACATCACATTACAAATGACTTCTTTTTTGCAAATACAGTCGTGTGTATATGAAGCTGAGTTATTGGAGGAAAGCCAAAGGAAAGAATGAAGTAGACCAAAATAGCTGACTATTTACATAGAATGTGGCATGGAGGTTACAAGATTTTAATTTAGTCTTGTTTTATTTTTAACTCATCTGAAATATAATGCAACAGGAAACAAATATATCTGAAAGTAATTGCCATATGTTTTCTTACTTATGATTGTGTCAGATTCTATTATAAGATAAAGTTGGCAGCCAGGACATTATTTTGGTAACCGTACTAGTAAAGCTCTATTCTGATAACCAATCCAGATTTTGCATTCTGACAAACAACTTCCTTGCAACACTATATTTTGCTTGCCTTCCAATATACACAGACACTCATACAAACTACCAAGGACTGCTAAGGTTTTCATCTATCCTGCAGAAATTCCACTTCAGCTCTTTTTCCAGATCTGGTCAAGGGTCTACCATGTTTCTCATATAATAAGGCTGGGTCTTATTTTTTTTTGAGCCCCGAAAAAATGGCTAGGCCATCTTTTCGGGGGTGACTTAATTCCCCCCCCTTGCATCTTCGGGTGGGCAGCAATGGCTTGGATGTTGACCTTGGCGTTGGTGGGGCACTTCGTATCGGGGTCAACGCAGGCAGCACCATATCCGGGTGTGCAACAAAAGTACTTCCTAACGGCAAGCCCCCCCCCCACCATTCCCCCCCATTTCGTATGTTTTAATATAGGCCTTAATTTGGGGGGGAGGGGCTTAATTTCATTTCATGCCTATAAAACATGCTGGGACTTCCTATTGGGGGAGGCCATATTTTTGGAGAAACAGGGTAGAACTATTAAAAAATTGACAGATGTACACATTCTTGTTTTTCAGAAGTTTCTCATGCATTTCTGACTACAGACTCAATTTAACTTTCCGATTACCAAAGCACAAGCAATGTTCCTTGAATGTACTTAAAAAAAAAAAACACCATGTATTTAGTGCACAATTGTTTTCTGGTATTCACCTATTGTATAAGTGTGGGAAGTATAACTTTAGAAATCCTGCAAAAACCTAAATGGAATTAATGGATCATCTGGTAAATTTTGACCTGCAAACAGTCCTCTGTCATCCAATAATACTCACTAACATTTCAATAAAATTAATGAGTCGCTGTTCCCAGCAATTGCACAGCATTATTCTGGATATTCCATTTCATTGTGTTTTCCTGTCAGTTTAATTATAGAAGCCTGATGATTATTATTTTAAAACTGTGTTTCTATCATGCCCTTTCTCCAAGCAGGCAATGGACAGGGCATTCTAATTTTTTCTATTTTTTTTTCACATGAAAAACTGTTTTCAGCTGATTTAGATTCTGTTGATCCTTTGCATTTCATTTTGGAACCTCTGTTTACAATGAGTCTTCCCTGCCTTGTACTGGATTAAGGGCTGGGCCAAGATATGTTTCTGTCTATGGCAGAACACAAATGTCTTCCTTAGGGCATCTTGAAAATCAAGGTCATGCAAAATGATGGAGGTAGTGATGTTGGTTATAACAATAACAACCAGCAATATACTATCTAGTCATTAGCCTCCAAACCACTTTCTAGTTGACAAAACACACAAAATCAATGATGTGGGAGAAATAGCAACCAAATCCTAGTGTTTCCTTAGTCAACTTAAATCATAGCCAAAGAAAGCAATAGAATGGTTAACTTTGATAGATTTTTTTGTTTTGTTTTTACGATCCTGCAATCCCTTTTTGAAATGGCAGCCAAATCCTAGACACATCTTGTTGACTGCACAGTTCCAATGCATCAGATACAAACAATGTAATTTTGGATTTCAGCATGCCAACCATTAGACATTAATAGTAGGCATTTCAGCATGTGATCCAAGAACTTCTGGGCTGCTAAAGGTTGCCATAGTTTTACAACCACTATATCTAAAGCCAAAGATTTGGTATGTGTGGACACCATAGATTTATAGGTAAAATGCTGTTTGCATCCCTCTTCTGCTTTGGCATGCTCCTAATATTTGGGGAGATGTTTGCTAGATCATCTTTTAGGAACTCAGTACAAACTTACTTCCTCAACCAGACTTCCTGATAAAAAGGTTGGTAGACAGTTCCCCTTTTGCCCTCTTTTTTCAATAAATGTTTTATTGAACATTACTTTACACTGCACAGTTTTTATGTTTCTTACTGTTTTCATTGTGTGCCCTTCTAGATGCTTTGGCATATAAAGTGGTGTAGTAGTATATTTTAAAATAAATTTTAAAATATATACATGTAGCACAAATTGAGAGTTACTACTCTGACCCTTACCTACAACACAACATACAATTTTTATCTGAATAGTATTATTTTTTTCTGCTCCAAGTGGCAACAATCAACCAATGGAGTGTTTCCTTAGTCAACCTCAAATCATAGCCAAAGAAAGCAATAGAATGGTGACTTTGATAGATTTTTGTTTTGTTTTTACGACTCCGCAATCCCTTTTTTTATTGGTATTCAGTCAAGGACTGAATGAAGCCTTTACTGGCTGGATGCCCCTCCTGATGCCTATGTGGAGTTTTCAGCAGATATTTACTCTTTGTGCCCTGATAGAGAATCATCTGTATTAGCATTGATAGAGTAATACCTTCAAATAGCAAGCATCCTTCCCCCAAGCAGGAATTCCTATCAGGGTCCTGCGTTGCCTTCTCTCATCTCTCCCTCCCTCTCTCTCCCTCCTTCCCTCCCTCTCCCTGCCTCCCTCCCTCCCTGCCTCCCTCTCTCTCTCTCTCTCTCTCTCACACACACACACACCACACCACACCACACCACACCACACAAAGTCAATTATACATACAAAAACAT